GGTAAGTCACTAAACCTCTCAGAGCTTCAATTTCTTAATCTATACAATGGAGCCAATAATATTTACCATACAAATTGATTTTGAAGATTTGTAATAATGTCTATAAAGAGCTTGACACATACACTGTACTCAATAGATGGTGATTATTATTATGGAATGGAATGCTGATTCTCAACAGCAAGTAAATGCCTTTTGTCCCAGAAATGGGAAGGCTCTCCCAACACTGGCTGTGGTCGGGGCTGCCATCAGTCAAGGTAGGGAACATTCTCATTTTCACTTTCAAAGTCAAGAGAATGGCACAGATCTGAAGTAGAAAGGAACCAGCAGCACATGTTTTTAAATATTCATAAGGGCTGGAAATGTCTTACTCCTTTCGTTTTCTCTGCCATCTGCTTTTGTTTCTTTTCTTTTCATTCTTATGCCACAGCTGCAAATGAAAACAACCATACAATAACTCAAGTTAAATAAAAAAAAAATCAAAATAAAAACAATCTGAGGGGTAAAAAGAGAAGATGAATTATAAAGTTTTTCCTGAGCTCACAAGGCAGCAGAAGCAAGAATAACGTCTGATGTGAGTTAAACCTTCTGGAAAACAAAATCCATGTCCCATGTTTATAATAACCATGCTAGGAGGAACCACCACTTACTAAATGGCCCCTATGTGCCACCTGACAACCAATATCTCTAATTCCTGAAGCCACTCTTCAAAGTAGGTAAATTAAACCCATTTTACAGAAAAGAAATGGCAGATCAGAGAGGTAAAATAGATTTTTAATGATTACACAGCTAATAAGAGATGAAACTGAGATTTGAATCCAGGTTCTGAATCCAAAGCCCAGGCACTTTCCCTATCGCCCTCTTCAAAAATGGGCAGGGACATGAAAAAATCAATTACGGAAACATTTAGGGCAGACCATTGTACTAAACTGATTTATTCAGATAATTAAAATCTGTGATTATAGCTCTAATTAAAGTTAACTCAGATAATTGGTTGTTGTATTTGTGAATGTGCAATTAGAGTCTTCCACATAATTGTGGGGTTTTCAGCATCATATTTTTCATTTATTCACTGCATCCCAGAGCTTTGCTCTACTGACCTCTGTTCTACCAAAGGCTGCATTACAGCTCTTGGGGTCTCTGGGCCCCAGGACCATGACCTATGATACCAATAGCAGGGTCTAGGCTCAGCCCCATTTAACACATCTTTGTCTAGAAGTCAATGAACATCTCATCTTCAAGTGCAATGTAAAAAGCTCTTACAGCCTACACTGTTGTCCTGAAAACTCCTAGCAGCACGTACCTGAAGAAAAACTGGCAGCAGTGGTCCTCACGTGTTAATTACACTTGCGAAGTCTATTATGCATAGAAAGGGCACCTGCTGGCAGTGAAAATGACTAGAATCTGCCCTTCCTGTGCAGTGAGTAAATTGAGAGTTCATTTCTACAGGAGATAATAGTTTTCAGATTCCATTTCGTGTATCCCCTGCATGGGGACATACTTAACATTTAAATCATCTGCAGAGGAACAAATCTCCTTCAAATTTACATGTTTCAGGCTCCTAGCACTTTACTTAAAATGCTAGTTATCCCTGCTGGCTCTTACCACCAAGGATTAAACTCAATGGCGGTGAAAGTCACCAAGCACAATAGAATGAAGTTATTAGCATTGACTCAAATTTCATGACATTTGTAGTTTCTGACCAAAGCAGGGGTAGCAGGCTGAAGGTGATCACATCAAGCCTTGAACAGAGGGTCTGGTTTATCTCTTGGGGCTTTTTATTTCACCATTCTTACATTTTGCAGTTAATAAACAGAGACCAATCCCCACCAGCCTGCAATCATCCTTTGGTCAAATGTCAAAAAGTTCTTTCATGAAAACAAGAGACCAAGACAGAGACAGCTGTCATGCAGACAGACACGTCCAGGATGCAGGCTCTTACAAAACCCACTCAGGCTCTGCAAACAGCGTCTGCACTTGGAGTTTGAGAGTGGAGGTTCGGGGTGAGGAGGGCTCAGCAGGCTTTCTCGCCCAGTCTCCCTGTCTATGTTAGCCCTGCCAGCACCACGGCTCTTGCTGAGGCTGGTGACACGGCTCTAGAGAAGGCTAGAGTTAGGGAGGAAGCCGAAAAGAAGATCTCGGATCAGCTTCCACAGGAAAGAGAGAAACAGCTAATCAATCCTCTAAGCAAAGAAGAGAGGGCTGAGACCTGAGATGGCAGCTGGAAAGGACAACTGGCTAGAATACATACTGACTTTTTAAAAACAAACCTTTCCTTTATTTTTATTTATTTATTTATTTATTTTGAGGAAGATTAGTCCTGAGCTAACATCTGCTGCCAATCCTCCTATTTTGCTGAGGAAGACTGGCCATGAGCTAACATCTGCGCCCATCTTCCCCTACTTTATATGTGGGACACCTGCCACAGCTTAGCTTGCCAAGTGGTGTGTAGGCCCGTACTCAGGATTCAAACTGGCAAACCCCAGGCCGCTGAAGCAGACTGTGTGAACTCAACCACTGCACCACCAGGCCACCACCAAAACAAAACTTTTCAACTATAAAAATTATACTTTTTCATTGTAGAAACATTTGAAAATATGGAAAATAAAATAAAAATCATGCAGAATCCCTCTCCCTTCTCCCCATTACAGATCCCTATTAACATTTTGGTTTATTTCCTTCCAGATTTCTGCCCCTCTATACATACGTATGTGTGTGAGTATCTATGTATACACACACATCTAATTTTTGTTATACACATACATATAGTTTGTTTTTATAAAAATGTAATTATACAGTACATAATAGCTATACCAGGGCAAGTTACTAAACCTCTTGGGGTCTTGGTATACTGACCTGTGAAATGGAGCTAATACCTGCCTTACAGGGCTGTTGGAAGACTTAAGTGAGATTACAGATATAAAGGAGACGGTCCAGTGACTGGGGCACAGGAGATGTTCAACAATGGTAGCTATTATCACCGATGCAACTGACAGAGCATCTTCTTCTCCACGGTTTTGGGAATATAAGCTGGTTTTAAAGTAGCTAACAATTGAGCAATCAAAACTTTCCAAATGATGGAAAGTTAAAGTTGTACTACCTGAGAGGCAGAGAGACTACAATGACTCTCCCAACTCCACCAATCCCTGCACACAGAAGGCCCTGGGTGTTCCTATCTGGAACAGCATCAAGAGACACAGCTGAGTCTCTTCCAGGGAGACAGGGAGAACTCCCAGCTTTCCCTTAGGGCACATGTCTGGGGTGAGGTATAAGGGGGTATGTGTCTCTCTCTGTTGGGCACGCCTGTGGGGGTATGTGCCTGGGAGGGTGCTGGACGTTAGGGTGGGGTCTGGTAGCAGGTTCTCTGTGCTAAGGGGACTGGGTATCACTGTGAGTCTGTCCTAGGGGATATATGTCCCATTCATACCTTTTGTCTGTCCCCCTCACTATCTCCCTTCCACCTTCCTTGGGTGTGTGTTTTGTTCTTCTTTTCCCTCTCTCGCTCCCCTTGCCTTCCTCTCCCTTTCTGAGTGTGAGAATCTGCCTCTGCCCAGCCCCCTAATCTTTCATTCAAACAAGAACAAACACTACTGGATGGCAAATAGGTCCTTTCCTTTGAGATACGTGACAGTGGAAAAAACCCCAGATAGTTGGTTGAAAAGCTCAAAAGGAGCAGCAAGTCTAAGCAGAGGAAGTGCTCCTTAATCTCATGAGAGAAAGGCATGGATAAAAAGACCCACCTTGATAAGATACATAATAAAGAGAAAAATGAGCCAATTCCCTTAGTGCTACGCACGAGAGAGGGCTGCTGATTTTCACTTGACAGCCCTGAGCCACATCTTTGTTGAACCCATGGCTTCTTGGGATGAGGGTGAGTCCAACACATTCACATCAGGAGTACTGTGGAGTCCCTTTAAGCTCCTATGACAATTTGACTACCTGGGGGAACCTTTTCAGTGAGAGGATTACAAAATGGGCTGGAGATCCCCAGCAAAAATTATGACTGACCTGGACTCAATCACTCTGAATGATGGTAAATGTCCTGAGTCATGTGTTCTTAAGCAACAGGGCTGTGACCCCTCAAATGGGTCCCTTTCTCCTGAAGCTCCCAATTTCTGGCAGGCAGTGCAGTACCTTTTCCTATATATGTATAATGCTCCCCTATCGACTTCTGCTGACCTCAGCTGTCTGGAGACAATGTCTTTAATCACATTACACTAGGGAAAGAAATTATTCATAAGGAAAATGGTTCCAAACCAGTCACACAGGCAGTCTTTTTTGGTAATGTATTAGAGACAAATAGTGATGAGGACCATGATTCTGCAGAAACATTAACTGACCTCCTCCCATGAGCCAGCTTTTCTACATAGTGTCCCTTTCATCTGTTATATCATTTCATCTTTATATAATTATGTATAGAACTTCATTTTGCAGATGAGGAGAAAAAGTCTTAAGCCAAGCGTCTTGGCCAAGGTGGTAGAGCTGACTCTAAAGCCGACCTGCCTGCCTGCCCACCTTCCTCCTTTCCTTCCTCCCTTCCACTAAAACACCTCACTGGACAGTGAAATTCCCATCCAAAGACTTCAGAAGGTTTTGAAGTCTGGCTTGTGCTCCCAAACCACAGCTGAGAGCAAGTCTTACAGAATGTGCCAGGGCACGGCTGAAACTTGAAGACCTGGGGGATGTCAATTGTATCGTTGTCACCAGTTTCCAATTTGTCTTAGGAAAAAAAAAATCAGACAATTATTTGGTGCTTTGTTTCCCCAAACTGAGAAATGGAAAAAATATTATCTATTCACTTGAACTCTTAAGAATGCCACAACATACATGAAAGTTGTTTGGAAACAAAAGGGCTGTGCAATCAGGTGGCCTACAATTCCTATCATACCGAAGTTAGTATTTTTAATTTAGAGTCACCAATTGCATTATAAGTTACAGATATAACATTCCTGGTCAGTTTCTGGAGAAGGAAAAGCAGAGGACAGGGTGAGCAGTGGCCTTACCAGCAGTAGTCCAGCAGATGCGGAGGCAGGACGGGGATGTACACGTGCTGCCAGAACATGGGGTAGAGCATCGCGGCAGAGCCGTGGATGCAGGCAGTCAACTGCAACAGAAGCAAATCAGAGACTCAGGGCTAACAAAGCGAGGAGACATTGCCATTTGAGTTTAGCAAGAAAATTAAATACATACTTATCAGCATGTTCAAACTTATAAGTTATCTCAATCACCCTAATTCAAATTTAACAAGAGCTTGCTTTTCAAAAAAATCTAATTTTTTCTCCTGATTATGAAGGTAATGCACAATGACTACAGAAAAATTAGAAAATGGAGAAAGTGATAATTTAACATTTTGGGGTGTTACATACACATGCACTTATATTTCCTTTTCTAATGAAATTAGGATTACAGTAAATACAGTGTTCACTTGCTCTTTTTTTAAGTTAACATTATTTGCTGGCATTTTCCCCTATCTTTAAATATTCTTAGATAACATTTTTTAATGACACTCAACAAATTTCCTATACTATAATTAACCATCTTCTACCATTAAATTATATAATCAGATCAGGTCAATAATTTTTATATGTGTTTCCTAGATGTAGAACTCAGAGACAAAGGTTATACATATTTTAAGGCACTTAATAAATATAATAACATAATTAATGTATTAATATAATAAATAGATGAAGAATGGAAGCTCTTTACATGCTGCCAGTCATGTACTAGGATGCCTGGCCTCCGTGTATTTCACCAGCACTAAGAATGCTAAGCAAGTTAGCTTTAAGAAATGGATCTATTTTCATTTTATTTTTATTTCTCTGATCATGACTGAGGCTGAACATCTTGTCATATGTTTGCTGACTATATTTCTTAGGTAAATTGTCTATTCACATTCTTAGTCCACTTTTTCTAATGAGTATCAGTATTTTTTAATTAATTTACAAGCAAACACTGGATATGCAAAGGATACTAATCTTAATGTTCTTGAAAATAATTTATTCTTATTTAATTTTCTTTGAATTTTTGGGTGAAGAGAAGGTTTAAATAATTACATAGGCAAATATTTTCCTTCATGATGGTTTCCACTGCTCTTATACTAAGACAGTCTTCCAAATTTTTTCTCAGCCTTAAACTCTTTAATCCATCTGGAATTAATTTAGGTTTAAGGGGTGAGGTGAGAATTTATTTTTTCCACATAGTTAATCAATTGCCCCAGCACTGTTTACTGGTTAATCCTTCCTCTCCCTATTCTTTTGACATGTCCCTATTTCATATTCTCTTTTGTTTTCTTAAGAGCTAGACACATCATACAACCAGTATTTGATACAATTCATTTAATAAAAATTTAGCAAACAAAGATATAATGGAATAAAATTGCTACAAAATTCAATATAGTGAAAGAAGGAAGAAAGCCAACACCTTTGGAGATATGGCTCTGAAGTGACGAAAGCCAACAACACATGTTTCTTTCTGTCTTTTTTCTTTAATGTTTCTTTGGTTTCTGGGAAGCTTATTCCCATGAGGACTTTGCTTCTTTTGGAAGCTGTTAACTGGTCTTTGCTGACAGAAGGACATTTACGTGGCGAAAGAGTGACGTGCCAAGGCTCAGTTAAAAGAATCCCAGAGGTTAGTGTAACATGAACAGCTTTAAATTGGATATTCTGCTGATGTTTCACAGTTGTGAGAGCTGTGTATTAAATCCAGGGCCACTACTTTTTTCCCCTCGTTTTCCCTCCAGACCCTGTTCTTTAAATCAGGTACATGCCATGAACAGGAGCTGATCCAGCAAGCTCTCAAGAGCTGTTCCCAGCGACTCTGCCAAGGCTTGTAGGTTTAATCCATCTTTTCTCAATCCATTTCAGGAGGTTTCCGTACAAAGAGGCTGTCTGTCATATTATACATGACTAATCTCTTCAGGGTTAGAAGAGATAAAAATTCTTTGCTGGTGCTGAGTGAGTGGAAAATGAACGAGTTTTACTCCAACTCCACCCTGAAGTCATGCTGGAGGGCTACACTGGCCTCGGGCCCCAGCTCGTTCTGCCTGTCCTTTCCCCAGCTGCCAACATCCCCTTCCTCAAGTGCATGTGCAGTCATGTAACATCCTATTTGGAGGCTTTGGGGACACATCTGGAACAGGCACGTCTCTATTAGCTCTCAGCCTACCTGTAGAGCAGCATCTCCAGCCACAATCTATACTGCCTTTTCCAAGTTTACCCTTGGATCAAACCATTTGCAGACTTAGGAATAGTTATACACTCCTTTTCCTCCCTTCTCTCTTTTTCATTCATCCCCTTAACTGGCCCAGATTTGTATCCATAGCAAACTCCTCCTCCTTCAGGTCCTTGTACAAGCACTACCTTCCTCTGCAAAACCCTGCATGGCTCCTCTGGGCATATGCCCCCACTACTAATGGGACTATAGCTTTCTGTATGTTTGTCCTCTCACTGTAAAGTAAAGACGGACCCCATCTCTCTTTTCCTACCCATCTTCTCAGTGGCATGTTCTCTATAAATTGCCCATGTTTTCTATAAGTGCCAGATAATGCCATGTTTCTTGAATAAGTAAAAAAAATTTCTACTTAGAACATCACAATATAAAGAGTCAAGGGCTTGGCTTTTAACACTACTGGACTAACATTTTCATGAGTCTCACAGAGTGTGGAATAGGGCTCAAATTCCAAAATAATAATGGCAAGCTTAGACACATAAATATGCCACTTTTGGAAAATCAAGTCAATGGATTCATTCATCCATCCATTCAATAATATGCCTACTCTGTAACTCTACAACACATCAAATAAATAAATAGAAGCACTTTAAAATCTATACAGTGGCCATACAAAAGTAACGTATCATCACAGAAATTCATTTGTAATTCTCTTTGAAAAAGTCATTCAATAGAATGTTCCTGGTTGAGAGAGAACTTGATTACTTCCTCTTTTTAGCTTAAATTGGTTTGAGCCAAAACCCTGTTTCAAGCAATAAAGTGGTGGAGATCATATCTTCAGACAATGCTTTTTTCATGCCTCCTAAGCCTCAAAAAACCCCTACCAAGCTAAATGCCAAGGCTTTAAAATTACTTATCCCTCAAAAAAATCAAACTCCTGTGAGGCAGCCCTATGGCCAAATGGTTAAAGTACTGTGCGCTCTGCTTCAGCGGCCTGAGCTCATGAGTTCAGATCCCAGGTGTGGACCTAACCACTCCTCAGTCATGCTGTAGTGGCGTCTCACATACAAAATAGAGGAAGACTGGCACAGATGTTAGCTCAGTGACAATCTTCCTCAAGCAAATAAAAAAGAATCAAACTTTCATGGTGCTTGATCACCATTTTCACTGAAGGTTTTCTAAGAGCAAAATCTCTGCAACTGAAGTAAAATTTACCCATTTGATTAAGAAAACAAACAAAAAACAAAAAAGAGAATTGTTTGGCTCTTTTCCAAAATACTAATGGCACACTGTGCATTGTTCCTTAGGCAAAGTGGTTAAGTTGACACACAAAGAAAATGTTACGATATATCTATGCCTAATCAGAAATAACATATTATGTCCTGTAAATTATCATTAGCCGCTTATTTCAAAACTAACTCTAAAACCAACCCCATTAAAAAAATAAAGATCCTAAAGGCCTATGCTCATTCCTTACAAAATACAAATTTAAAAGTAATGAAAGTATACAATTTGGATTGTAGTCAACAAAGGAGTATTGTGAATATTTAACTGAAGTGCAAGTTGAGGAAAATGATCCTATCAAAATCTCACTCAGTGGGAGAATAGAAAGATAGTATGTGTAAAATATGCCCAAAGTCATTAGTCACAATGAATATTCATCACAAGCCAATTATCAATCCTATTTAATGACACCCCAAAAGATTTTGCCCTGAAGCAGCTGAATAGTCTAAGACTCCAGACAAAACTAGACAAATTATACAGCCAACAGCCAGTCTAGCCAGGACACAGATTGTAAAGTAAACCACTGGTGGGGTTTTGGAAGCACTTTCAGCAAATTCTGTCCTCAATTAAAGGTGCACAAGGTCAGTTCTATCTTGGAGCTTTCTATATGGCTCCATTAGTTTTCTTTGAGGCAAAGGGAGAGAAAGGGAGAAGGTAGTGGGGGTAGGACGTGAACGGAGATCAATCAATGATAGACTTTGAAAAATCACAAGGACACATTTTTTTTTAGTTTAAGGTATTTCTCAGAATAATGCCCAGACTGTCACAATCTTAGATTCCAGTGCCTCAGCTGATTCGTAATGTAGCTCTGCAATTTAACATGGATTACAGCTAAGAGAATCCTCTCAAAAAAAAACAAAAGAAAGAAAGAAGGAAAGAATCCCAACAGTGTGTGGGCCAGGCACTATATTGGGGGTTTAAGATCTTGCAAAGTACTGTTTTATTTATTGGGGGAGGAGACGGCTTTATATACATAGACACTCACCACCACATGTCACAGATAAGGAAACAGTCTCAGAAGTGAAATAACCTCCCCAACGCCACAAAGCTAGTAAGTGACAGAACTAGGATTCACATCCAGGTCTGTCAGACTATAATGGCCTCTGTGTTTCCATAATGCATAAATTAACTAAAAAAATGTTTTGAGCGCCTACCCTGTGCCCATATGCTGTGCTGAGGATTATGAACTCGATGAGATATTGTCCCTGTTAGCAAGGCCAAATTACATAAAAATGCATTTGCCTTGCTCTCAGATGACCAAATATCTAGGGCAAAATACCAATTAACAAAAAATAATGATTTTTAAAACAAACATGGACCTGATCATTTCCTGGGGATTAGTTACATTTAACTAAGGTGTTATACTGTCTTTAATCCACAGGAAATTCTAGACAATGAAGTAATGATTGATAGTCAAAGGGAAAGGTTTACATCTCAATTTGGCACACAGACTTGAAAGTCTGGCTTTCTGTCATGTTCTATTTCACATACTTGCATGGAGTTTCCACTAACTCTCTTTTTGATCTGAGCAAGCCACTTTGTCTCCTGGGTCTCAATTTCCCCTATACGGAAAACAAGAGGCTGGACCACACAATTCCTGAGCCCTCTTCCAGCTTTGACAACTTATGATCTAGGGGAATTGCCATCCTTTGA